AGCCTCAAGCAGGAGCTGCAGCGGCAGCCCCTGACTCCCTGCGGCATTGGCAAGAGCAGCCCCCTGGACTGCCTCGCCCTGCAGTCAGGAGGCAGGCCGAGTAGTACATAGGAAGTTCCCATGCACTACACGGTAGGTAGTTGGACAGTAGGCACGAGTAGTCTTCAGGATTCAGCGCAGCACTCAGGAGGAGCGCGGCAGGGAGTAGCTTAGCGCTAGCAGTAGTCTTCAGCGCTGGGCGCTAGTAGGTGGTAGATAGTGAGTTGGGAGAGATGGCTGGCGGAGGCCAGCGAGACTTACCTGTGGCGCCATAGCTCCAGCTCCATCTTCGAGGTACCTGCATCAAGGCGCCAACTTCACAGGTTAGTACTGGACTGTGTGTGTGTGTGAGAGAGAGAGAGAGAGAGAGAGAGAGAGAGAGAGAGAGAGAGAGAGAGAGAGAGATTCTTCTTCCTCTTCTTCTAAGTCCACCATCTCTTCTTCCCCTCTCACCACCTGACTTCTCAGTATCAGCGGACTACAGAGAGAGAGTTGTGACCTGGGACTTGACGACATTGGATCCAGACTTGACATTTGGGATTCAGACATTTCGACGAGGGACTATTTGGGCCTGTGCCGAAGACTTGGTGTTGACAACATTCCCATCTTCCCCCTCCTCTTCGTCTAACCCCCTTCTTCTTCGTCTGTGTATGGTAGGGGCTGGCGCAGTCTTCCTGTGTGAAGCGCCAGAACCCATTCACACCAKGTAACGATGATGATGATGTATGTTCAGGGCTGCATTGCAATATTGATTGTTCGGATCATTGGTATCTAAGTCTTCCGCTACGCCATCTTGTACTTTGTATTGAGAGGTCGGCTCTTGTTCTGGTCTGCACCGTTACAGTATGCGACAGTTTGGTATCGGAGCGGACCTCTCATTCAGAGGACCCGCTCAATCAAGTAGCCAGCTTGCTTGATCTATTGATCACTCATTAGTAAATCAAGCAGGACTTCGTCAAATCTCTGAATTTTTTTTTTTCTCGCAACAACTATCTGAAAATTTCTGATATTCGCATTTCGTTTTACCTGAAAATTTCTGATATTGGTATTTCGTTTTCACGTAACAAATATCTGAAAATTTCCGATAAATCGCATTTCGTTTTGTCTGAAAATTCCTGATAGACTGTGATAGTAGCATTTCGTTTCTCTGATATTTCGCATACATAGCTGAAATTTTCTGATGTTAGTATTTCGTTTTCTAAGCATATTGGGATAACGATAGAAGTGGTCATATTCTCGGAAACTGGAATTATTCTTTTCTGAAAATCGAATTTCCATTCTATCTTGCAAATTTTTTTTTGAAAACTGAAATCTTGCGAAGCCTACCAATATTGCGTTAGGCATGTTCGGAGGTTGCCATATTCTCAGAAACGGGATTTTGTTCTTTTTCTGAAAATCGCATCTTTACTCCATTTCGCAAAAAAAAATTTCAAGATCGCATTTTGTGAAAGCCCAAACTTTGCGGAACCTAGCCTAGATCTCGTTCATAGTACTCTTCTGACATGTCCCACTCATAATAGATCGACAGATATACAAAAAAAAAAAAGAAAAAAAAAGGAAGTAGTCCTCTTTTATTTTTTTATTTTTTATCTGTTGATTAGGGCCGGAGGAAAGTATTGTTGGGTTGGTTGCCTACCTACGTTTTCCCTCCCACCCACCCCTTTGCATGCATTTCCAAGTTGGTACAGTGCCACGTCAGCAGTGCCACGTCAGCCACAGTGCCACGTCAGCAGTGCCACATCAGCCACAGTGCCATGTCAGCCGTGCCACATCAGCCACAGTGCCATGTCAGCAGTGCCACATCAGCAGTGCCATGTTAGCAGTGCCACATCAGCAGTGCCACATCAGCAGTGCCCCGCCACCATGACGAGCGCAGCTCTGGGCATGCCAGGCCAACTGGCCAACGAGTCTCTTGCAGACTACAAACAGCGGTTCCAGGCTCAGCTCGCTCTGATCGAGGCAGAGGAACAGCGCCAGCTGGCAGCCGAGGCTGCCCACCTACAGGCTGAAGCAGCGGCAACAGCTGAGAAGCAGCGGCTGCAGGCCGAAGCAGACGCAGATGCCAGGCACGCCGCAAGGAAGCCCAGGATCTGCTGCAGCGGCATGAAGACGCCAGCATCGAAAGCTCAAGTTCCGGCATTTCGAATCATCAAGACTAACCGGGCTGCTGCACACGAGAAGACAGCGTGGCAACCAGCCCATGTGGAGAAGGAAAATTTGGTCCGCGTCCGCAGCATGTCGCTGCAGTCCAACCGGACACCATTGTGGAAGACCCGGCAGCCACCCAAGCATCACGTGAGGAAGATCATGTGGCCGTCGTCCAGCCGCGAAGCAACAACAACTCCCGAGAAAAGGGAAGGCGAAAACCGGAACGCCGGCTGGAAATGGACAGCCAGTACCACAGCTCGGGAAACTGAGCTGCGCGGGAGGTGAGGCGACTCCACCTCTCACTCCGCCAGATTTGGCCGCCTTGCTAGCGGCCTCCCTACACATTTGGGGAGGAGGCGCATGTCGCAAGTCCTCGGTAATCTTAAGAGGATTACACTGTCCACTTGGTCCCACCATTGGACCAACCACTCCACGTGCAATAATCCACCGCATGCACGGTTTCATCACCATCGGCAACCGATTCGGCAGCTTCACCGCCATCTATCGCCGGGGATTCAACGCCATGGTCAAGACTTGAAGAGCTCGACCCGTTGACTTTTGCGGACTTCCATTGGATGCCCCTTCCCCGGTCCGGTCGATTGCCGAAACCGCATTGCAACGTGCTCATGGCACAATTGTGGGATTGCTTGCACGCTGCAGTACCAACTCCGTTGATGGACACCAGAGTAGAGGTTGTCGACCTTCACGCCTACATTGCGAAGATCGACCGCGAGTTCAAGACACAACGATATGACGACATCGACACACCATTGTTATATGTACGCATTCAGATCGGAGAGGCGACCTGCAGCGCTTTGATCGATTGCGGAAGCACTCGCAACTATATGGGCCACAGATTTCCGGTGCGCAATGGCTTGGAGCCACGCGTTCGGAGGAAGTCGCAGCCCACGCAAGTCACGTTGGCCGACGGTCACACGCACAAGTCAATCGACCGGTGCATTTGACCCCGTCCTCGTGTACGTCGCTCCGCATGTACGTGAGGTCGTGTCCTTCGACATTTTGGACACCGAGTTTTGCAGATTTGCAAGCATCGGCACCGCTGCTCTACGACGGCTACGTGCGACGAAGACCAGCTAAGGAAGCTTCGCAAACCTGCCCCTCCCGCTTCGCCCTCGCAGGTAAGCTCGGTCTTTCAAGTAGGGGGGGGTGTGGCATACTGCGTAGCCACACGGGCTTGCAGGGCCCGTCCCGCATTCTCAGCCTAAAAGCCTAGAAATAAGGGCTTACAGGCCCCCATGTCGTTTCAGCCTGAAACTGAAAACGAGGGCCT